ATTTGTTGACAGAGAGAACTAGTTGAGACTTTTCTGTTCCACTTTAAGACTAGCTTTTGCGGACAACCTATTGGAGGTTTGCCTGACCCCTGTACTCGTCCGTCACCCTAGTAAGCTTGTCTATTTCCCGTATATTTGCCCTCGTCAGGCCCACATATTGGTCATGCATACACATTGTGCATCGCTGACGCCTGGGCCCGTTACACCCGCTTACGTGGTCATCCCTGCACCCAAGCTTTCGCCAGTCCCTCAACCGCCCTCCTCAGGCCTCCCACCGACGACCAGGTTTCATCAACAAACGTCCTTCTTTCTACCGGCGTTGATGAATATGGTTCTAAGGTAAGTTACTAACAAATGAGTTCATTTTAAATAGCCATTCTTGTTTTCAATTGACACTGACATAATTTTTGTCCACAGATCGAGAGAACTGCCCAGTCGATTGGCTGCACGCCACGAAGCCTTTGCGATAGGTTTGCTTCGCAGTTCGAGGTGAGTTTCTTCCGTCCTGACAGTTCCATCGGCGATTTCAATGAGGTCCACTGTGTGTACCACAGTAAGATGGTGCAGGGACGGTTACTTGCGCGCGAATAGATTTTCGACGCATCTACCGCACTAAATACTCCTCCCCTCTACCTGTACCCAGTGTCATGGCCAAGTCAAGAAGACCAGAGACGGAAGAGAGTAGCTCTTCCTTTAGACTACAGGTTGTGGCAGAATCAAATGTGTCATTGGAAACTTAATTGGTTACGCTTTCTTTACTACTTTGATTGTCGTTTTCTGCGCTGGAATGGCTTACCTGTTAGCCTAGCTGCTGGCTAAATGATGAGTGCGGTGGAGCAGCTAGTTAGCTTGTTTTCGTTGAAGGCTTTCTGAATACGAACAGGCAGTCACGAGCCTTTTGAACTAGTGGTTGGGATCAGAAAATCTTCGCCTCGTGGAGGTCCCCATGAATTTCCACGACAATGCGCAGCAGTGGACACTGTTCTCTTCCCTCAGAAAATGGAGCGTTCAGCCGGACGTCTGAATCGTAAATGGATGCAAAAAAGATCAAATGCGTTCCCGCTTAGAACTCGGCGGATTTAGGCTTAAATCACCAAAAAAACCAACTGCAGATGTCCTCCTCACATTTAGACGACTATCTTCGCTTCATATCCTCCTATGAATTGGTGTGTCTGTTGCATGCATGTTCCAGTCGGTAGACAGTGAACTTAACCCGAGCCCACCTTCAGCTGTTCTGACATCGTCTTGCTATCAGAGCAACGTGGGTATGGGTGGAGAGAGGAGGTGAGCTAGATGTCTCGCAAGTTCGTTCGGGCACAGATTTATTCACGCTCAAGTTGCTAGCGTTCGCCCACTTCGTGGAACACGCCGTGAATGTTGTCATTGTCCGCAACAGTCGAAGTGTGGATATTTTAGTTGACCCAATTGTGAAAAAACTCGCGGCATTCGGCGGGATTCGAACCCCAAGCCAACGCTCTACCCACTTGAGCTACGAATGTCGCGTTTCACACCGTGAGTTCAATCACACTTGGATCGATATTACCCACCCAACTTTGCCGCTCACATGGAATC